ACGCACATGCAATCTCAACATATTACACTAAATACACCTGATATGGCTCTCTTAACTATATTTGAATACGTTTTTATGTTTCGTTTTTCTTTAAATCCATATCCTAGTTTTAAGTATGACTGGATCCGAAATACAGGCTTGCCTAACATATGGACCCAGTCTTGATGTAGTGCTACTGTAAACATGTGCCAGCTGTTGCGACTGGGAGTACGCTTCCATGGCGGCGTCCCTCTACTCGTAACACAGGTTTATTCCTAGCACGAGAGAGTGGCCCTGCTGTACCGTGGCGGCGACTACGGTTGATTGCGTCAACATTGTCACAGTAGTTATCTATGTACTCTGTTTATAACTCTTAGTGAAAAAAAAAAAAAAAAAAAGTATTATTATTATTATTTTAATTTTAATTATATATAGTGTTATTCCATTATGCATGATGTGATGCCTTAAAATATTGTGCATTAATCTTAATATAATGGATGCATGATTTAGATTTTAGTAAATAATGTCACAACTACTAACTGTTGAATAAATAAATGCTCCCGCTTTGTGTAAATGTGTATTGAAGTACATTTATTCAAATTATTATTAATAATTTATGTATTTATGGCTAGTATTACACCTGCTATGTGAGCGAAGATTTTTTTCTATTGTTTACCAATACATGCCAAGCAAATACCCTTCCTTCCTTCACCCATTTAGAGAGTCGGCTAACACTTTCTACAGCAAAATAGGATTGCTTATAAGTAATAATAATGATGAATAATATTTTCGAATATATGACACACAACGCCATCTAGTTTCAAACAAAACATTGACAATATTTTAGTACTTAATAACCTCGAAACATTCAAAATCCAATATCTTTTTTCCTAGACTTCTTTCGCTAGTAATTTTTTTATGAGAATGTTCAAGAATAAATTCTCAAGGGTTATAGGCATTTTTGATATTTAAACGCTGTCATTTCACTTCAAATAAAATTATGTATGGGGACCTGCCATTGTCCTTTGATAAATATAAAGGAAAACATAACAAGTCCAAGTAACTCATTTGTACTCTTAGACACCGACGAACAAGAGGTACATAGTATTATTACTCTCTTAAAAACAAACTGCGCCTCAGGAAACGATACAATTTCTAGCAAATTTTTAAAACAACACAAATACTTATAGTACATAGTACCTATTCTGACAAAAAATTTTAACGATTGTCTAAAATCTGGCATTTTCCCTAATTCTCTGAAAAGGTCAGAAGTATGTCCTTTCTACAAGAGCGGTGACAGAAGTTGTATTAGTAGTTGTTGTATTAGAAGTTGTATTAGTAGTTAGTTGTATTCATTACAGACCAATATCCATATTACAGGCTATTTCAAAAATTTTAGAAAAAATAATAAATACTAGACTAAAAGCCTACCTTGAAAAACACTATCTCTTATCACCTAATCAATACGGATTTCGAACGGGGAAGTGTACCGAACATGCTGTGAACAAGCTGATTGGTTTTGCAAGCTCTAACCTCTCAAAGGGAAATAAATGTATAAGTATGTTCTTAGACCTAGCTAAGGCGTTTGATACAATTTCTGTTCCTCACTTTATTCCTCGTATACATAAACGAGTTCACACAACTCAAACTTACCCAAGGCGAAATCATCTCCTTTGCTGATGACACAGCCCTAGTTTTTGCCGCTGACACTTGGGATGAAGTTTTTGACGCTGCCCAGCAGGGTTTTAATACTGTTACGAAATGGCTTCAAAAGAATATAGAATATTCTAATACCTATACACTAAATGTAAACAAGAGAAAATATATTTGCTGCAGCATAAGAAGTAGTTCCGTGATTAACAGAAGAAATAATATTATCTCACACGAGTGTTCCTTGGGACTTGACTGTAACTGTTCATCGTTGGAGCGTGTAAATTTGATAAAGTACTTGGATGTTAAAATAGACAGTAATCTAAACATCAAACACTTGTGCGCCAAAACACGTAAACTCATTTATGTCTTTAAGAACTTGAGATCAGTAGCAGAACCGCTGTTGATGAAGCAAATATATTATGCGTTTTGTCAGTCGCTCCTAACATATTGTATTACCTCATGGGGAGGCACATATAAAACCGTAATTAAGTCCGTTGAAGTTGCCCAGAGAGCAGTACTCAAGGTTTGCAATAATAAAACCCATTTTCTATCCAACTGCCGCACTTTATCAACTGTGCGAAGTTCTAACCGTAAGACCATTATATATTTTGAAGAGTATAATGCTACAACACAATGACCTATAATCCACAGTTGTTAAGGAGACGTAGAAAATTTATTGTGTGTGAATTTCCGTTGGGGTGCAAAACTAAATTTAGCAGACATTTTTCTGACTTTAACGGTCCCCATTTATATAATAAAATCAATAAAGTTCTCAATATTTATCTGCAAACGGGCACACAGTGCAAAAAAGAGTTGATTAAATATCTACAAAAAACTAGACTATGAAGAGATTGAAAAACTCATGAACAGTATTCAATAATAGTTACAAACATACACACACATACAGTCACAGACACACTCACACACACGCACACACACAACCACACACACGCTAAGGAACACATTATACTCAGGCACATGCACAGACTAGATTGATTTTTATATTGCATAGCATACATACAATATATAATAGTAAGGCTTAATGTGCATTGGGGTGTTGGCGCTGATAGTTGAAATACAGGCTTCGCCTAGTTCGACTACAGATGCTTGATTCTTTTAATTTTAAGACATATTAATATGAATGTTTAAAGATGTAACCTGTAAGTTTGTGTGTGTAATATAAATGAATAAATAAATAAAAAAAAAACATAAACATTGCCATAAACTCAAATAAAATTGACTTTGAAGGAGACCGCTACTTAAATCTTGCTGCTGTTCATGGACTTTTACCAGCCCACACTCTCACAACAAGGTGTGATTATGGAAATTGTTTGGACCACGTCCTGCTTAAGATCAAAACTTCAGCTATTACTATAATTCCCCGCAAGAAAAAGACAACGAGAAAGTCCAGGGAATAATCAAATCCCAAAAACAAAATAAACTTGACGCACATTGGCTTAGTCAACCCACATCTTGAAGACACATCAACACAGAAGCTTGACGTAGTAGCTGAAGACAACTACGAGATGAAAATCCTCCGCAACGAACAAGTAAGAATACAACCTAAATCCAATTCAATTCAATTCGTTTATTGCGCTCCATAATGTATACACAGGTCTTATAAATGTAGAAAGAAACAATTATGGACCCTGTCGGGCACGGCAACATTAGGAGAGAAAAGCAAACATTCCATCATCATATTGAAATGTAGATTAGCAATTAGAACTAAGTAGGTATTTCTTTTCTTGCTCACGTTTTAATTAAATTTAGTAAACATTATATTATATATATTATTATATGTATATTATTATTATATATTGATTTGTTTCCATAGTAAATTATATATTTTTAAATTTATTTTGTAATTATATATTATGTTAATTATTCAAATTTGTCGTTTAGATATTCATTTATATGGTAGTAACATTTTTGTATAAAAAGATCGTTTATTTTTTTTTTAAATGTATTTGTGGAGGAACGGGTGTCATGTCCCTCCAACACAAAGGGAGGATCCTCCGACCAGGCAAGGTGATCATGCCTGACGGGGCGCGGCCCAACGGTTGATGTTGGGAAGTTGTATATATGCTAACCGGCGAGGGAATTCTTTATATCGCGATACAGGATTAGCAATTCTTATTTTAGTAGTTACTCCGTAGTTCGGTGTGTCTTCATTAGATGGCGCTGTAGTCTGTTTTTGTGTCTCAATGTATAATTTGTATTTAAATCTTCCCTTCTCGTCTAATAATCTGTGTGTTGTCTGACAAATTTACATGTTTCAAGAATATACATACAAGGAACGGTTAGTATTTTTAGTTTTCGGAAATGAGGTTTGCAACTCTCTGTGTCGTCTATGTTTACAATTATCCTTATTAACTTTTTTTGCATAATTATCAGTGAGGGAGCATCTGTGCTGTTACCCCATAGGGTGATACCGTAATTCAGCCATGAGGATGCATAGGCATAGTAGGTGACTAGAGCGGTTTTTCTATCAGTGGTTTTTTTAACTTCCCGGAGAGCGTAGCAGAATGTTGATAATTTGGATTAAATTTTTTGTATATGTGATTTCCAATTAATATTGGTAGTAAGTACCCTGGGGGATGGAAGTGTTGATAATTTGTGGATATGAACGGATTTATTGAATTTCCTTAGTGTAGCTATTATGGTGTTCAATTTCAACTTGATGCTCTCTATTTTGTAGATAGGATACGAACCATTTGTGTGCCCTACCTCGAATACCTATTTCATATAGCTTGTTTAACAATATATTGTACTGGACTCTGGCGTATGCTTTGGTCATGTCCAATAATATCCCTATGGCATATTGCTTATTATTCAAAACATTTAGAGCTTCTTGTATATGTTTATAGACTGCTAATGTTGTTGAGCGATTCTTCCGAAACCCATTTTGAGACTCATTAAATATCTTGTATTTCTCACAAAAGGAGTAAACTGGGTTACACATAGCTTTTTCGAAAAATTTTGATGCTGTTGGTAGTAGGGCTATGGGTCGATAATTATTGGGATCGGTTTTTGAGTCTTTCTTATGGATAGGTCTTATTACAGCTTTTTTTAGTTGGTTCGGGAAGGTGCCTTCTTCAAAGGATTGGTTAATTAATAAATAAAAGGGTAATAACAGTTCCTTTATACATTGTTTGACTAGGAAAGGTGGAAGTTCTGTTGAGTATCGATTTTTGTATTAAATCATTCATAAGGTTCACACACTCACTACCACATCCCTAGCGTAACTATTGGGAAGATGGCCGAGTTGGTCGATGCTCTGCAAAGCAATAAATAAATATAAAACAAGGGAAGTGTTCTTTTTCTTAATAGAAGAGAAGAGTCTCCAGCTCTCATATACCTTCAACAGGTTATGGGCCCAGCACGCTTCCACTGTGCTTCTGTTCAATGTCTTTATTAGCGGCCCTTTGCTTCGAAGGACTTATAAGCGTATGAGTTGATGCAAATTTACAACTTTTACCGTAAGCACAACTCCCGTTTTGAGCCCACTGTCTACAGTGTTCAGTTGTTTTTTTAGCGTTGGACTTCTTAGTACCGAGACGCTCAAACACACTAGGTCTGTTAGCTAGATCTGTCGATTTCGGTAATTCGACAGTAATTTTTCTTTTTCCTTGTTTTGACATTATAAAGGAAAAACATTGGTCTCGCACAATTAAAAGCGATTAAAAAGAAATGGCGTCCGAAACACGAGTTTGTATTTTACCCAAACTAACAAATGAAAACTACGCAAATTGGAAGTTCCGTGTACAATGCTTGCTAGAAGAAAGAAAGCTATCCGAAGTTACAAAAACAATTACAGTTGAAGAAAGAAACAAGGAAGATGACGCAAAGGCGCGATCATTGATTGTACAATGTATTCCAGATAGATACTTAGACATCATTAAAGATTCTAACACAGCTGGTGATATGTTAAAGAAATTAGATGAAGTATTTCAAAGAAAGAGTGTGTTCTCCAAGTTACATTTGCGAAGAAAACTACTTTCTTTAAAGCTGGGAGACAACAAGATGGAAGAATATTTATACAAATTTGAATCCCTAATAAGAGAACTAGAAAACTTAGATAAAAAGGTTGATGAAGAAGACAAAATATGTTACTTACTGATGGGACTACCAGAATCATACAACACAGTCATAACAGCTATTGAAACTATCTCGGAGAAGGTGACTATAGACTTTGTGAAAACAAGACTATTAGATGAAGAACTAAAGAAAGTAACATCCAACACAGAAGAACCTGAAACAATCTTTACAGCCAATGTGGAATGCTATAGATGTCATAAAAAAGGGCATATTGCCAGAAATTGTAAGAAAAATAACTTTAGAGGTCGCCGAATGAGAGGTCGAGCTACAGGCCATAGCGCAAACTATGTGACAAATGACAAGTGGAGTGTTATAGCTATTAACAATGAGTTGGAATGTAACCTAGCAGATCTTAATAACACAATAAAGTTCATAATAGACTCAGGTGCAACGGAAAACATAATAAAAGAAGAATATGAAAATTGTATGCATAATATCAAAGAGCTAGATCACACTATAAATATTAAAATGGCAAATGGAAACATAATGGAAGCTAAGAAAAGTGGTGAAATTACCATAAAAAGTCAAGGCATAAAAATGAATATTCAATGCATAATAGTACCAGGAATAGCTCACAACTTATTATCTGTGAAAAAGATGTCTCAAAAAGGACTTCAAGTGCTATTTAGCAAGTATGGTATACAAATTAAAAACAAAGGACAAGTGTGGAGATCAAAGAATTCAAATCCACTTTATATATTAGAAGGAATCATATTGGAATCTGAGCTATGTAATGCAGCCGTGGATGATGAAGGAATATTATGGCATAGAAGACTAGGACATGTAAACAGGAAGAGCTTATTGAAAATGAAACTACCAGTAACTAATAAGTATGTGATGCATGTATGCAAGGAAAGTCAGTGAGAAAACCATTCTTACCTATAACAAAGACACAATCAAATAGAGTTGGAGAGCTTATACACACAGATATAGCAGGACCTATAAATCCAGAGTCAAAAGAAGGATATAGATACATGATGACAGTGATAGATGACTATTCCCACTATGTTGTGATATACTTACTAAGAAACAAGTCAGAAGCCAGTGAAAAACTAATAGATTATATAAATATGTATGAAAGACAAAAGGATAATTATATAAAAAGAATTAGATGTGACAATGGTGGTGAGTACAACTCTAATATGTTTAGACAGTTCTGTAAACAAAAAGGTATCAACATTGAACATACTCAACCATACAGTCCTCAGCAAAATGGAAAAGCAGAGAGAATGAATCGCACCATTTTTGACAAAGCAAGGACAATGATAATTGAATCTAACCTACCTAAATACCTGTGGACCGAAGCTGTGATGTGTGCGGCATATCAGCTCAATCGCTGCCCATCGAAGGCTATTCATTTCAAAATACCCTGTCAAGTTTATAAAAGAGATATGACCTTAGACAAACTAAGAGTGTTTGGTGCTAAAGGATGGATGGTAACAATACCCAGAAAAGACAAGTTGTCCGAGAGAGCAAAATCAATTCGAATGGTTGGTTATTCTAATAATGGATATAGACTATGGGATCCAATAACAGAGGAGATTACAGTATCAAGAGATGTAAAATTTAACGAGAAAGATATCAGATATGAGAAAGAAAACTTAATTAAGGAAAATAATGATAATAAAACTATATATCAAGAAATAAGAGATAATAATGGTAATGAACAAATGAATCAGTATACAAAAATACAACCTACATACAGTAACAAAATAATTCAAGAGAAGCAAGATCAGGGACTAAACAATCTAGATAATGAGAGTACAACAAGTGAAAAACAAACTAGAAATGATGGCAGACCAAAACGGCAGAGTAAGAAACCTGAGAGGTATAATGAGTACATTACAGATTTTGCCTACGCTATGAGCGCAGATGTGCCAACATGCTATGAAGAAGCTATTAAAGATAGAGATTGGATAGAAGCTATAAATAAGGAGATAAAAACATTACAAGATATGGAAGTATGGACAGAAAGTAAGTTACCAATAAATGAGAAAGTGATAGATACTAAATGGATATTTAAGTCAAAATCAGATGGTACAAAGAAAGCTAGACTTGTTGCGAGAGGATTCCAACAAGAAATTTAAGATCTGGACCTATACTCGCCAGTAGCAAAGATGACGTCAATAAGACTGTTCTTATCCCAAGCTGCAATAAACAACTGGGAGCTGAGACAACTTGATATACCTTCAGCTTTCCTAAATGGTACTCTTAAAACCGATGTGTATATAGAACCACCAAAAGGAGTAAAAATGAAAACTGATAGAAATGTATTAAAGCTAAAAAAGGCCTTGTATGGTCTGAAAGAATCACCGAAAGTTTGGAACAGTACTCTAAATAGTTTCTACAAAGAAAAGTTACAAATGGAAAGATCAGCATATGATGTATGTTTATATAAAGGCATGAACATATGGTCAATCGTATTTGTTGATGATATACTACTGACTGGACAGACAGACCAGATAGAATATGTAATTAAATGTTTGAAACAAGAATTTGAAGCAAAAGATCTTGGTAAAGTTACAAGTTTTTTAGGTATAGATATAACAAGGAATGAAAACACTTTAGAAATATCTCAAACTAAGTTTATTAATAGATTATTGCAGTATTACAATATGAGCACATGTAAATCTTCAAAGACTCCAATGGATTATTGCAGTATTACAATATGAGCACATGTAAATCTTCAAAGACTCCAATGGAAAGCACATTCCAAGCTGATGATAAGGCAGAGAAGATTGGCGCACCCTATAGAGAGATTATAGGAAGTTTAAATTATTTGTCAATGATTAGTAGACCGGATATAACCTTTTCCACGAGTTACTTGAGTCGCTATCTTGATAAACCAACAGATCAACTGTGGACTGCTGCCAAGCGTATTCTTCGTTATCTGCAAGGAACAAAAGATAAAGCATTAGTATACAAAGGAAACAAAGAGAAATACAATAACATTATAGCATATACAGATTCAGATTGGGCCGGAGATAAATCAGATAGAAAAAGCATAAGTGGTTATGTAATATACCATGGAAACAATTTGATATCATGGTGTTCTAAGAAACAACAGTGTGTTGCATTGTCAAGCTCCGAAGCTGAATATGTTGCTGCTTCAATGTGTGCAAGTGATTTGATATTTGTGCGTGGACTAGTGTTAGTTTTTCAAAACGACTGTAATGTGTTACTACAAGTGGACAATCAAAGTGCTTTAAAGATGATAAACAATTACGAAAACACTAAAAGATTCAAACACATAGACATTAGAGTGCATTTTATTAAAGATATTTTAAACAAACAGTTACTTACCGTAAAATATGTGTCAACAAATGAAAATCTTGCAGATATTATGACGAAACCTTTGTGTAGCACAAAATTTGATTATTTTTGTGAAAAATTGTTCAATTCTTAGGTTATGTTGACAAGTTGTATTTATGTGCTGTCAATTGTCAAAGTTGTTTTTGTTTATGGCCTCAGTGTTGCCATGATTAACGTAGTTTAGTAAATACTAAATCGAGGGGTGGTGTTGAGTATCGATTTTTGTATTAAATCATTCATAAGGTTCACACACTCACTACCACATCCCTAGCGTAACTATTGGGAAGATGGCCGAGTTGGTCGATGCTCTGCAAAGCAATAAATAAATATAAAACAAGGGAAGTGTTCTTTTTCTTAATAGAAGAGAAGAGTCTCCAGCTCTCATATACCTTCAACAAGTTCATCTATACCGCTATTTTTTTTGTTTTAAGGATTTCGAATAATTTCGTGTACTTCGTACGGATCGACAGGTCTCAAGTACATGCTGTTTTCTGTAGGTTGTAAAGCTCGTGTACGATTAGAGTGATAGTTACTTATACCTACTGACCTAAAGAAACTATTAAAAGTATTCGCAACTTGTTTTGGCTCAGATATTTCCAAATTGTCATGTTTCAGTCTTATGTTTTGTTTTACGTTTCTGACTTTTTTATTTGTGCGTTCGTTGATTATACTCCCCATGGTTTTTACTTTGTTGCTTGATTTCTTCATTTTATTTATACGAGTATAATGTAGTTTTTTTGATGTTATTACAGCCTTTTTTAATAGTTTTTCGTATTTCTTAAAGTATTCTAGCAGAACAGGGTTTTTTTTTTGTTAGTATCTTTAGCAATCTTTTATTTTTACATGACTTTTTCATGCTCGTGGTTAGCCATTGTTTTTTGCGAGTGTATGTAATTTTAACTTTTTTCATGGGTATGTATTTATTAAGTGTTTTTATTATAATTGTGTTAAAAACGCTGTAGTTTTCATTGATATTTTTATCTACTGTTAGTATGTTTGACCACTTTATATTTTGTAATTCGTTTTTAAATTTTTCTATGTTAAAATTGTTAAATAACCTTTTCTTTATGTACCAAGTGTCATGCTTATTTTGTTGGGGTGTTTTCATATGGATAATAGCACCGTTATGGTCTGAGAAGCCAAATTCTTCAACTGACGTGTAAAAAGTGTGGATATTAAAATTTGTGAAAAATAAGTCCAAGCATGTGCGCAAGATGGCTGGCAGGAGCTGGATGCGAGAAGCCCAAAATACTCAATACTCAATATATTTATTGCATTCCACAATGTTTACTTAGATGGTACTCAAATATATGATCAGATCATCATGGACCCTGTCGGGCACAGCAATAGATGAGAGAGAGAGATAATACAAACTAATAACAATAATCATACTTCAGTTTTTTATGTACATGCTTAATTTATTGATTGCTTAGATATTCATTGACGCTGTAATAACATTTTTGTGGTAATAATTGTTTTAATTTATTTAAATATATATTTAATATGGTTTCATTTCTAATTTCTTCGGGTAATTTATTGTAAATTTTGATCGACATTACTTGAGTGCTATTTGAATGGATTTGGAGTCGGGATGAGGGTAGGTTTAGTCTAGTCCTATGGCGTAGTGTGTAGTGTTTTTTGTTTATCCTCTCTTTTTGTAAACAGATTTTGATTTTTTCGTACGAATTTACATATTTCCAAAATATAAATTGATGGCAGTGTTAGAATGTTGTGTTCTCTAAAGTATGGTTTACAGCTAGCGGTGTCCTCTATATTGACCAGAATTCTAATTAGTTTTTTTTGAAGTGTGAAGAATGTTGGAGCATCTGTGCTGTTACCCCATAATATGATGCCGTAACTAAACCAGGAATAAGGGCGAGAGAGAGCTGTTTGAAGGTCGGTGGTCTTTTTAACTTCGCGTAAGGCGTATGTGAACTTAGAGATTTTAGATCTTAATTTCGTTATGTGAGATTTCCAATTGATGTGTGTGTCAATTGACAGGCCTAATAGGGTAAATTCGGGGACTACTTCTATTTTTGAACTATTATATGTAAAATTTATATCTAATGGGGATTTTTGATAAGGGTGGAAGGACATAATTTTAGTTTTGGAAAAATTTATTTCGAGGTTATGGTTTTTCATCCAATTTACGGTTTTGTCTAATGTTTTGGTTAAGTTTTTGTCTAAATTGGTAAAATTGGTGAGGAGCGAGATGTCGTCTGCAAACAATACGCAAGGTCCATCTATGGTTTTTGGGAGATCATTGATATATATAAGAAAAAGTAGGCAACCGATTACACTACCTTGGGGTATTAAAGCATTAATATTTTTTTTGCTTGAACGGACGTTTTGAATTTCAGATGTTTTATAATTGAAGAATTCTATTTCTACTTGGTGTTCTCTATCTCTCAGGTATGATATAAACCAGTCTTGGGCCCCACCACGGATCCCTATCCCGTGTAATTTTTGTAAGAGCATTTTGTATTGCACTTTATCATAGGCTTTGGTCATGTCTAACAGGACGCCGATTGCATAGTTTTTATTATTAATTATGTTAAGGGCTTCCTGGATAAATTTATAGGTTGCTAGGACCGTAGATCGACCTTTTCGAAAACCGTTTTGGCAGTCATCAAATATTTTATATTTTTCACAAAATCCGTAAACACGGTCACACATGGCCTTTTCAAATATCTTTGAGGCAATAGGTAGGTAAAGCTATAGGGCGGTAGTTACTAACATCGGTTTTTGTACTTTTTTTGTGGATCGGTTTTATCAAAGCTTTCTTTAAGTAATCCGGATAACCGCCCTCCTCAAAAGACTGATTAACCAATAGGCAGAATGGAAGAGTGAGCTCGTCTGCGCATTGTTTCATCAATGTTGGGGGTAATTCATCTATACCGTGGCTCTTTTTATTTTTAAGTTCTTAATTATTTTATTAACTTAGTAAGGATCGACGGGGGTGAGAAACATGGTGTTTTGGGTGGGGCGCAACACGGAGACGCCTTGGATTTCTTGTTCTGTTGTTTGGACGTTCTCTTCTCCGATAGAAGCAATAAAATTATTAAAAAAAATTGTTATGACTGTTCAGTCAGAGATCATGTTATTGTTGATTTTTAGCTTTAGATTAGATTTTTATTTTTTAGACGTTTTGTTAGTTCGTTCATTTATAACACTCTACATTGTTTTGTCTTATTATCCGATTTTTTAATCTTATTTATTTAATATATTTGTATGTAATATAGTCTTTTTTAGGATATTTTCATAGGTTTTGTAGTTTTGTATGAGTATTGGATTTTTAGTTTTAAGTGCGATTATTTTTAGCAATCTTTTATTTTTACAAGACGTTAAAATTCCTTTAGTTAACCATTGCTTTTTGAACTTTGTTTTTAATTATTTTTTTTTATTGGTATACATTGGTTTAAAATATTTATTAGTGTGTTTTTAAACTCATTGTAATTTTCATTCATGTTTTTACCTACTTTAATAATGTTATTCCAATTTTGACACTTTAACTTAGATTTGAATAATTGTGTATTCAAATTACTATATCGCAGTCCCCGACGAACACTATGGTAATCGCTATTACGATAGAATCGGGTTTATTAGATATTCGTTATCTACACACCCTATTACAATCATTGATTTTTTTTTATGATCGGGCGATGAATACTTTTGGATTTATCCATTCAATAATGATCTTTATGTTTTTGTTCAACGTATAACATAAGTGAAAAATTTACACGATCAATAACGCAAAAACCTATTACCAAATCTCAAAAGTCAACATTTTAGAGTAAGCGGCTATTACCATATTGTTCGAGGGAAAAATAACAGAATCAGAATCAGAATTTATACATAGGTACCGAAATGGTTATAACACCTAAAAATGATCATCGAATAAGCATGTAATTTATGTTTACCGTAATATTAAAGTCAGTTATATCATCGAATACGATTGCAATGTCATTTTACGAATATAAAGTATATTCATATTTACCATGGACCAATATCATAATGAACGATTACTACAGCAACACCGATTTGTGATTACAGTCGAACACTATCGTAAAGTTAGTTTGCGTTAATTTTTTCCATAGCTTATTTCAGTAATGGACATTTTCACAATTTTCTTACTGATAAAGAAAATTGGACCCTGTTAAGCAGAAAAGATCCAACCAACACTTTGTTAGTTTTGAGTAAATGCGATTTGAAATTTAGGAGTGAATATAAAACAAACAGGCAGAAGATTACAAAAATTGAAAGTTACTTATAGTAACTCACTAAATTAGTAATATTTTAAATGTAATGCCACTTCCTAGCTGCACACAGTTTACTTGATTTTCTTAAAAAACTACCCATGGATCTTTTATGCAAAAAATAAAATCATCGGTAACATCTCCACGGGGGATCCAAACATTATGTGTAAGGAACATAATTTAAATTACATACTATAGCACGGCTAATTTTAAGCCAAGCCACAGTTTGAAGTAAAATATACGGGTGGCCATTAGCGAAAGCAGATAGTATGCATTGCATCGTACCTTATATTTATTAACATATGAAGTTATAAAATATTTATTAAAAGTATTACGAAAAAAGAAACATTGTGGACTCACTTTTTACTTTACTGTTTAACCCGACATTCCGGACACTTCCCCGCGACAAAGGACTCTGAATAGTGTCCGAAATGTCGGCTTAAATAGATATTGTAAAAGTAAATAAAACGCGATAAAGTCCGTAAAGTTTTATTTTAGTTGAAATTCTTGTAAGGGTACGTACACAACTAATCAAGATATAGGATCGCGGTCCACTTCCACTTCAATCTCAAAATCAGGTTCCCCGGAAAATCCGTCTACATCATCTTCTATACTATTGTCACCAGTCAATTTTTTGTAGAATGCCTGAGCATCACGTGGGATCAAATGCATTAGGCTTTTTATGTCGTTCAACTTTGCTTGTGGTATCATCTTCCCATCAGGCCAAAGCATTTGCATTAGACTTTTTGATATGAAGCGTTGTCTGCCGCGGCAATTTTTTTTCAGGTCTACTTCTACAAAAGAATCGTCTAGACTGTACCGCATAAATAAAGAAAACATCTCTTTCTTTTTTAATAAAATTTCTTTCGTCTGCAGCCAGGAGACTTTTTCTCCAGAAAGTGATTTCTTTCTATTAGTTATAATATTCTCCAGTGGACGTGAACTAAGAAAATCTGTTGGTTGCATTCGGTGAACTTGTAGGGGCTTATGTTTTTTGCACGATCTCATAATATTTATGTAGTCTTCAGGCGAATATACTCTTTGTTGGTATTTCAACGCATTTTCCACCTTTCCGAAATCTGTATCGTTCGGCAAAAAGCTATGTCCCGATTCCAAAAACTTCATGCTTATTTGCTGCAACGTTTGGTGATCTTCTAAGAAAGCTTTAAGCATAAGAGTAAGCTTGATGTTGCGGTTTTGACCGCCACAGGAATCGCTCCAAAGAATAAGGTGAGTTACCCCTTCTTTGAGTCTCTCTGACAGGTGTTTGATGAGGCAAGATCCGACTTCCTGTGCGCCTCTTGCCGCTTCGCCTTCTACCCAGATGTTGCAGTGACCTTGATCATCAGAACCTGTATGTATACCCAAGTTATACAACCATATCTGGCGTTTGTAGAAAACAATGTTGGTTGGGATACGTGGGAGTGGCAGGGTTTTTTCCATATCAAATGTTATAGTTTCTATGTTAGGATTATTTTTAGCAAGAATCATGTCATTTTTCATATATTTTTGAAGGTTCTCTGCAGTTTTGAGATGAGTTTCATGTTCCTCTATAATTTTATTCTTTTCTTCTACGTTCGTAATTGTATTCTTTTTATTTTCATAGTAATCACATTTATTGCAGGTATCTTTATTGAGTGGTTTAGTGCGCAGATTAAATTTTGTTAAAAATACTTGTTTAGCTTTTGGGTATGAAATGGGCTTAATCCCTACAGAAATAGCCTCTTCACAGTAAAGTTGGTAAATCTTTGAAAAAGTCATATCGGGTCTTAAAAATTTTGCATCTCCTACTTTCTGGCGACAATAATGAGACACATACGTAGGTAGTTTTCCTATTAAATTTATTAAAAATTCTTCGCACTCAGCAGGGATTTTATTGTGGCCTCCGTTAATACCCCGTTTGTCAGTGACAGAATCCGTTCTCATTTTTTTAAGAGCCGTATCAATTCTTTTTGGGGTGGTCTGAATGGTCTTCACGAACATATCTCTACATACCAAAATACCTTTCAAAAAATACTGACGCGAATATGTTTTTTTTTTCGAGATATTGTACGATATGTAAGGGCGTTTCACAGGTTGTTCTTTCACACAAGCCACAATATACATATTTTGAGAATGATATGTTCCCAACTCGTAAAATTTCTTAAATTCGGCCTCTCTATTTTCCACAGAAATTTTTGCAGAACATTTCTTGGAGCAACCACAGTCAAAATTTATAAATGATTTAGACTCCACCTGTTTCTTGCGATAGTTTACATAGGGTAGATTTTTATATTTATTTTGTTTCCTTTCTTCCCTAGTCAATTGACCAAACCTCCGCTTTCTTCCTCTACGTGGTCTTCCACTTGTATTACGACCTGTAGAAATGTTATCTTCATTACATTCTTCATAACTCGTTTTTTCTTTTACTAACAGATTTTGTTCATGGTCTCTATTGCGACTAGTAGCATTTTCTATGTTAGCATCAGAATTCGATTCTTCCTGAAAACTCTCAACAGGACATACTGCATGGTGCGTTGCTAAATCACAGTAGTTGTGATTTCTGTGTGTGGTCATTTCTTGGTCTTGTTTATTTGTGGCATGATGATGAACGAGAACATGCGTAGTAATTATAGAATTTGACTTGTCTGACCTTTCACTAGAGCTAGTATTATCCATCTCGTGAATTTGATAGTCCGGATCCTGTACGGAGTCATCACTGTTAAAATCTTCAAAATCTCCTAAAATATTTAATAGTTCTTTAGTTTTAGGTGACATTCGAGGCATCGGCGATGGTGGAAAAGATTCTGGTATTTTATTATTTAAAGCGGGAGATAGTTTTGACGAAACCGAAGACAAAGCTGGAGCTTCAATGTTAGACTCTGTTATTTCTACTGCCATCACAGGTGTGGACGCCATTAAAGGAGAGCCCAAAGTTTCAACAGATGACACCTGAGTCATCAATGGCGGTAGAAAATATGCTGGATTTTTGTTGTTTTTATTTGCTACGAAAAGTGGATTTGGAGTAAGCGGTGAATAAGCTGGTGCTTCAATGCTAGATTCTGTTATTTCCGTAAGCGGCGTGGATGCATTTAAGGGAGGACCCAAAGTTTCGACAAGCCGTTCACCATTTTTCATAGTCATGCTAAGTGTTAAACGAAGGTCCACTGGGGCAACAATGCTACGCTCACCAGTTTCATAGCTAGATCTATCGGCAAAATTTTCGGGCGTGAATGGTTTAAAAGCGGGATGCATTAATGGACTACATACTCGGGTTTGTTGACTGCTGTAAAGCAGAATTTTCTTTACTTTTATTGCGGCACTATTTTTCTTGTCCAATTGAGTACCTGAATCAACCAAAATGTATTATGAAAATTAATATTATATCACTTATCAAAACTTTTAGTACTAAGTTTACACGCTGTCTAAACTTAGTACTACAAGTTGGGACGCCAACTTAATTTTAATAGGTTACGAACGAGTATGCGCCAAAACATGTAACACGATAGCAACATGTAACAAGTAAGATCCCAATTACCTATTGCGAGGCTACTATGATATAGCTACGATACAACGCACGGTCATACGCGTACGTATCACGAACGTGTTAGCGTCCCAGAATGTAACACGACAATAACGTGTAACATGTTGAGAAGCTAAGTCATTCGTGATCTATCACGGACGAGATTGCGTTCTAAAATATAACACGACAATAACGTGTAATATGTTGAGAGCTAAACTCATTCTTGTGCTAACACAGACGAGATTGCATCCATCGAAACAAGTGGCTTAACACAGAATTGATTTCAACTTTAAGTTGTAAATACACATTCAGGTTTATACTATTTAATCATAACGATATATTGTTATGATCGATCACACTTACAAGTAACAAAGAGCGCATTATTTGAAACACGTTTGAACAATAGTACAACAAATACGTTAAATTAATTTTATAAATACTTCAGTGAACGTAAGAACAAGTAGGTACTTACAGTTTGTCATGCACGAAGTTGGACTGTTTTGGGGTGTGTCTTCGATGATATCTTGTAAAATCGTTTCTGTAGGTATAATACCGACAAAACATTAGTAAAACTTATGATCAACTACACTTTGTAAAATATTATTCTTCAAAGTATTTTAAATACATTTTGAGGTTAGGAAAGATTTTGTTTAAAACTTACCATCTTTACTTTCATCTTGAGTTTCATCGGAATTATAACCCAAGCAGGCACTCATTAGTACACTATTAATATTATGATCCATCTTCATTAAGTAATTACGAGTATAATACTAATAACGAACTTTTACCCACTTGCAAAAACTTATACAGTAGTACCTGTGTTGTGTTACCAGATGTATAAAAGTTTATTACAATCAAAAACAATTTTATTTTTACTTAACATACGTTAAATAATGATTCAAAATAAATTTCATTTAAAATAATTTCAATTATTATCTATAAAAATAATTAAAACAGATGAAATTAAATCGGTCATTGGTGTCTGTTGAAACTAAATCTGAAATTTTATAATATGCAATAAAGTGTCAAACCACTTGGTTCCTGTGTAATCAGTCAGAATCAAGAAAACTATTTTGCGTAAAAGATCCGAGGTGCTTGGTTCACAATACTTTAAATGTGATAGAAAAAAAATAATACGAAAAGGGTCCAACCTGCTAGGGTTATAAATTATGGAAATATAGTTTGTGTTAAATAGATTCATGCAGCACGGATTTAAAAAAATAATAAATTTAGTTTTTTTTCAGGTCCAAGAGTCATGTATCTTTTTTGTTTTAAAAAATATATGCTAAATGTGTGTTGGTACATATAGTGTTATAATAGTTTGTTTAGTAAATGTTATGAGACTGCTTGGATCTTTTATGCGTATAAAAAATTCAATTTGTAGATTCTTACTATATATATAACTCGATTTTCACCAAATTGTTGGTTGGATCTTTTCTGCTTAACAGGGTCCAATTTATGATATGATTAGTAAAAATCTAGTGCAAAAAAATATTTCCTTATTTTTGATAAAAGAATCTTCTTTTTAGTCTTGATAGTATTCAAGATATTCAGTTTTTATTTGCTCCTGTAAAATTGTTATTTTCCTATTACGATTTTGTTCGTCGGGGACTGCGATATATTCTTTTGTTGACATACCAAGAAATTTGTTTAGTTTGTTGGGGCAGAGCTATGTGCACAGTAGTGGCACAGTGGTCTGAGAAACCTAGCTCTTCAACGCTTGTATATATTTTGTTATGAGCGAAGTTTGTAAATATTAGGTCAATGCATGATGATGGAATTCGAGTAACGCGCGTGGGATCTTTCACGTGTTGCTTAAATTTATATTGCAACAAAAGGTCCAAGAACTCATTTGTTTTTAAATTGTTTTCAAATATATTAATGTTGAAATCGGCTCCAATTATTATATTATTTTTAGAATATTTAATGTTAATATATTTTAAAATTTTTGTTAGTTTTTTGTAAAAGCTGTCCCGCTCCCTTCCATTCCAATAAATAACAATAATCAACAAATTTTCAATAACTAATTCTATGGCACACACTTCTATGATATATTCGATAGACATACTCGCAATATCAGTTCTCTCTATACTCTCGATATGGTTTTGTAGAAGGATGCAGACACCCCCACCAGAACGTTTCTGTCGGCAGTATGATGCGGCAAACTTGTAACCGCTGAAGTGAATAATATCCATTTTGTGTTGTGATAACCATGACTCCGATATGCATATTGCTTGGTACTGCGGTGATTGCTCCATGAAGGCCTCTAATAAGTGTTGCTTATTATTAAGGCTCTGGATATTTTGGAATAATATTTTAATGTGTGTATCTTTGTTTTCGTGTGTAACTTTCATTCTCCGAATTGTTGTGTTGTTGTTCATGATATGTATAGTTACTACCGTGGGGCTCTATGTAATTTGGCTTTCCGTTTTCAGGTTGAGATTTTGATGCTTCATTTGTGATGTTTATTCGTTTTCCTTCTATGATGAGTTGGTTATTTCGGATTACTGCGTGCATTCCTTTCCTTCGAGCGTTAAGCATTTCGTCGCGCATTTGGAGTCTTTCTTTTTGTGCATTTTCATCATGAAATTCAGATATAGTTCCCTGGAAGTAGTGGTTGTTATCTTTTATATGCTTAGCCATTCGTTTGCTTATTAGCTCAATAGCTAGTGGTCGATTTTTATTGCTATATCTACCAATTCTGTGTGTTTCTTCGATATAGTCCATGAGATCTAACTGCATAATTTCTAATTATAAGATCTAATTTACTGAAATCTTCTGAGGTTGTAGTATCATTTAGGGTATTTGTTCTTCTTTTGCTCATGGTGATGTTATTAATCTCTACAGGTGAGTTTAGCAATTGAGTGGCTTCTCGCTCTCGCGGACGTATAGGGGTGTCTTGGTTACAAGTTTTAGGCATTTTGCAGCAACAAGCCTGACATTTCCACTCTTTTATACACGTTATTGTCATTGAGTTATTGTAGCGCTCGTGTGACACATATAAGTTGTTCCGTGTTTGCTATTTTTTGTTTACATCCGGCACATATTAGTGGCATTGTGTATTACCACTGCTACTAGCGTTCTCTAGCGGCAACTATCGGAGTTATCTCGATGTTGCGGTTGAGTGTGGTGATTGAGTAGTTTTGATGTTTGTTCAATTGCACGTGATTTTTAGTTTTACTGACAGATGGCGTTGTTGCAACGTATTGACCGTATTGGCAATGATTTACAATCTGTGACTATTTCTTGTATGAATTAGGGTAGGTGAATTAATGTCATACCTTTTTAAATCGATCGATCTAAGTGGCGTGCAATGGGAGAGGCCTATGTCCAGCAGTGGACTGCGATAGGCTGATGATGATGATGATGATGATGATGATGATGTGAATGTAGTCAGCGTTATGCGAGTTGGTTCTTTTATGTGTTGCGTAAATTTGTGTTCTAACATAAAATCTCAAAATTTGTTTGTTTTTAAGTTATTTTCTAAAATATTTATATTAAAATCTCCTCCGATGATTATATTACGTTTAAAATATTTACTGTTTATATAATTCAGTATTTGTTCCATCTGATAATAAAATGTTTTCTTCTCTCTTTTATTCCAATACATATTAATAAGCAATACATTCTCCACAGGTAATTCTACAGCACACAGTTCTAGAACATAATCAATTGACATATTAGATATATCACTTGTCTCGATATAGTCGGTATTGTTCCGCAGGATAATGGCGACGCCGCCACCGATTCGACTCCTACGGCAATATGATGATACGATATTATATCCATTTAAATGGATTAATTCTATTTTTTCCTGTGACAGCCAGGTCTCAACTATGCACCACTGCGATGGCCAGACCGTGGACACGGCTCTCCACACGCTGGCAGAGTGCCCGGCGTGGGTTGAGCAGAGGCGAGACATCGTGGCGGCCATCGGAGTGGGAGTTCTCTCGCTCGATAGCCTGATTGCGGCCATCGTACAGAGCGAGAGTGCGTGGAACTCTGCCGTCTTCTTCTGCGAGCAAGTTATGCTCGCGAAAGAGACGGCGGAGCGGGATCGGGCGGCGAGGGAGCACACTTCCAGGGAGCACAGGGAACATAGGGTTCCCACACCGGGGGGGGGGGGTCGTCTACTCGTCTGTAGATGACCCGAGGTATGTCGGGGCCCCAGGGACTTCCTTTCTAGGGTATACCTGGTTCCCCGGCTATTAGTACCCGAGACGGCGTGCGGTTTTAGTCGGTTCGAGTCCGACATGCCACCGACAGGTATTATCCGAGGGGATTTCCGCACGGAAAAAAAAAAAAAAAAAAAGGTCTCAACTATGCATAAAGCTGTGAATATCGCTTCATAATAAATGCTTCTAGAATATGTTGCTTATTATATAGGCTCTGTGCATTTTGAAATAAAATATTTAGCGTACCATCATCGTGGCGTGTAAAAGGAGTGGCTCATGGCTTCGGTATTATAATCGCGTGGATGCTGTAGATTGCAGGTTGCAGTTTGATAGTGTTGTGTATGTGCTGTCTCTTGTAGGGTCATATTTTCCTCTGGTGTTGTTAGCTTGCCATCTATATACAATTGATTATTTCTTATTATTGCAAAATGTCCGGCTTTTCTGACTTTAATCATTTTTTCGCGTAATATATACCGCTCCTTTCTTGCCTTTTCGTCCAGGAATTCGGAGACAGATAAGCGAGTCCCCTTAAAGCAGTACCCATTTTCTGTGATATATTTAGTTATCCTTTTACTAAGCAGTTTTATTACTAATGATCGACTTTTAGTACTTTTTTTCCAAGTTTATATACATTCTCTATGTACCCTGAGAGGTCAATATTTTGGAGATCCCTAAATAGGTCTACGAGTCTATTATATAAGTCATATTCCGACTCTTTGTGAAATCCTGTTAAGCCATAGAGAACGATTTTTTTACTGTTGTCATTACTAAGAAAATCTGAGTGCTAAGGTAATTTTTTTAAATTTTGTATTTCTTGTCTTAAGTTTTCATTCGCTATTTCTAAGTTTTTTATCTTCTTTGTAATTTGTTCTAGATCGGTTTTTCTTTCTTCATTTTGCTTCGCTAATTCGTTTACTTCCTGTTTAATATCTTCCACTACTCTTGTGATCGCTTTGGCAATTTCTGATTGTATTGTACCCTGTATTTCTGAGATAATGGATATGTTGTTTTCCTTCAACCGTAATGTGACGATTTGAATAAAAAACGGTCTCCTTTTTGCACTATCTTTACAATATCTATATTCTTGCAGTATATATCGGTTATAGTCACTTTTAATTAGAATAAAGTCTACATAAAACACTTAAGAGTCATTATTAGTCAACAGTTTTCAAATTCCAGTAATGTTTTCGAATTTGATAGCCGATTTTTTCACTTCACAAATTTTACTATTTAGTCCTTATACTTTGCCGAGATAACGTTTACACTTGTCACTGGGCTACTTAGGTTTAGTTTAACACCATAGTACATTTAAATACACGTCAACTAATATTTTTTGTTTATGATTAATACGGAGCTAGTTGTTTACTTGGCAAACAGCGCCATCTATCCACAAAAATATATTCAAAAATAGTAAAAAGTCTAAATGAAAAAAGTACAGAATTTTATACTTACAAACCCAAACAAGACCGTGGCTTTAAAATAGTACTTGAAATTTCAACCCTTTAGTAGACCTACAAGAAATAAAAGATGAAATAGAAAGGCATGAACATAAAGTCACCAATATTTGGAATGTTTAACAAATAATTAACAAAAAATCACTACTATTGTTCATGGAAATAGAAACCAACCACAACAATAAACTTATCTATAATATAAAAAGTCTATTGCACTGTACACTCATAATTGAATCCTCGACACCTAAACGGGAAATTCCACAATGTGGAAAATGTCAACAATATAGACACATGAGAAAATACTGTTTCAGGAACCCCAAATGTATTAAATGTGCTGGAGACCATGCATCAATTAATTGTCAACGTAAAGAGAGGTCAGATTCTGTTAAATGTGTTCTTTGAGAAGAAAACCATCCTGCAAACTATAAAGATTGCTCAATATAAAAGGAACTTCAAAAAATCAAATACCCTACTCAACTAATAAATCAAAGACACAAAACACATACCGAACAACAAAATGATAAGGCGGATAATATAAGAAAACAGAACCAACAATTGTATAGGGAATCACTAACATCCAATAATCCACAGCAAATACCCACTAACAAACAAAGTCCAATTGAAACACCACATGTACAGACAATTAATAACGACCTTAAAGAAATTATGACTACTATGAATCAACTAATGCAACAACTAATATCAATAACCAATCTCCTTATGGAAATCACGTCCAAATTATTACGTTCTCCTCCTTAAACATTACTCTTTAGAATGCCAACGAGCTTTTACGCCACGTCTTAGAAGTAAAGAAATTTTTACAAACAAACAAAATTGTTATCTTACTGGTTTCTGAAACGCACTTTACCAAAAAGAATTTTATGAAAATTCCAAACTACACATTCTACCAAACAATGCACCCAGACGGAACTGCCCACGGAGGATCTTCTATCTTCATAAAGAACAATATTAAACATCGCGAGGCAGAGCCACTCAAAACTCCTTAGATACAAGCCACAAGCGTTGTCATTGAGGATTGGCTTGAACATCTTGTGGTCACTGCACTGTATTCCCCCCCAAAACATGCTGTCAAAAAAGAGAAATACGTCAACTTTTTCAAAACACTGGGGCCACGGTTTATAGCGGGTGGAGATTCCAATTCGATAGCTCAAACATAGTCGATAGCCCAAACATCTCCGATCGGCTCGCGTTCACTAGCACTAAGCCTATAAGGACAACGACTAACTGTACGACTAGGATCTACAAGCCTAATTTGCAACTGTCCTGTCGTTACCCGGGATCTAGGAACACCACCAGAAAGCGAAGAAGAATATTCTGACAAAAGATTAATTAATTGAGAACGAAATTCTAGCGGAATGTTTGTATCAACTTTGTCGAAAACAATTTGACCATTGGCATCGTTTCCGAGCTTATTTGTAACATCACATAGCCTAACAACCTTATTATGACACAACGTCATACTAACGTTAAATCCTTTTTTTTTTTTTTTTTTACGTGTGGAAATCCCCTCGGACCGTCACCCCGCCGGGGCTCTTGTTCGGCGTTGCGGTGTGTCGGACTCGAACCGACTAAAACCACACGGTGTGCCCTCTTTGCGCTTCCAGTTTAGGAGGGGTCCAGGTAGTTATCGCCTTCTGGACCCCTCCCAGCGCCGGCCCGCTCCTGTTGCGGGCCCCGTCTCTGATTTTTCCTCTCTTTAGGCGACGTCCGGCACACGCGGACGCCGCCCCCTCGCGGCTGTCCAACTAATGCGGGTGGAGGGGAGAACCCATCCCGTCCACCCGCGGCCACACTCAGGGCGGCATGAGGCGCAGGTAAGCGCGCCTCCGCCGCCCGGTTCGCCGGCGGCGGATCAGGTCCGAGTGGCGGTCGTCCTCCCGGGCCTTCTCCGCCGCCTCCTTCTGCGAGATTACCTCCTCGCAGAAGTCAACAACTGTCGCTACCGGCCATGGAGCGAATTACGGCCGGTAGCGAGAGATCTGATGACTGCAGTGAGGGCCCGGCGCTGCGTCGCCCATGCGGGGCAAACCGCCAGCGTGTGCTGGACCGAATCCTCACTGCAGTCGCAGTGGTGGCAAAAAAAAAAAAAATA